TTCATGATAAGAAATCGGAAACTTTTAAAACTTTCCTTATGAGCACATTCAATTTACATAATATGATAAACAATCCAGAAGAATCTACAACGAGAGATGACACCACTATCGAATATCGATGCAGTATTTTCAAGATATTTGGAAAAAAACTACATCACAACATACGTATCATATTTCAGTCATCACAAGCCTATAATTTCGATAATTTAATATTCACACATTAGCGACTGTGGCCAACTATCACGTCACACCAAACCCCAATTATTACTAAATATTAATGTTGTATGGTATTCTACAGATTCATAAGTTACCTATATTATAATAATATTAATATCCTTTATTTTATAATAATATAACCTAAGCAAAACGAGTGTTTACTCATGAATATGTGGGGCCTGTTATCTTCTTGAAGAATAACTTAAAATAAAATAAAATAAATAAATACTTAACGAGTAGCTTCGTAGGCCCTCATATACATTTTTATAAACACTTTGTTAAGTTATTATATTATATTGGTGTCCAATATTTTTTACTGGCCACCAACCAGCAGTGATTTAAACTGTTAAAAAATTGGTGACGAGACGTAACTAATGAACAACTTACAGTCTACAGTCCAGTCGGCCGTCTGCAGAACACACTTACAGTTACGCGTCATGCCCGGGGAGATCGAAAACCCAGTCCGGAGGTATATTTCTGAGCTTGTATTTGAGGATTTGTTTTTTTTTTTAAATGTTACACTTATTGATGGTAATAATAATTTAAAGTTTATTATTTAGTTATTTATTTAAATCACAACTAATATAACAAAATATACTTAATATGTTTCCAGTGCAGCATTGAACGTATCCCACGACCAGATAAGATATGAATGAGCTCATATTTTGAGAACTATATTTTGGCAATTACTCACATAGAATATAAGTAATTGTCTATGATATGTCAATAATAACTAGGTAATTAAATTCATTGTGAAATGTAAATTAATAATATCTAAATTCTACATAATAAATAATATAATGTATTGTAATATGTTATAAGAGTTGACACATAGGCGGTCAACCCAGTTTCACTTGGTTTGTTAGTGATGAAATATCTTTGAAAATAGATGAAATAATGTTTGTATTGTTCTATCATAATTATAATTTTTTATGAAAACATGTTTTAAACAACACTATAATAAATTAACATAATAATATCTGAGTCAATTATAGTGTTAAAGAAAAATATTCTAGCTTAAATTAGGTGAAAAAATAGATATAATTTAATTAGGTGTTATTTCTATAGTAAGTAATATTAGTAATAAGTATATTATATAAAAAGTACATATTACCTTTTTGGAAAAATAGAAAAAATTAAAGCATCATGATTACTATTAAAAGAGAAAATAGAGCTTGATTTCTTGGTTCAGCATATTATATATAATATGTAGGTACCTATTCATCTATTGACATCATGTTCTTGGAAATTAATAAATTACCAATAAGAAAGTAGACCTAAAATCGATCATAACTTATAAACTTTTACGTTAAACACGAGTTGTTACCAATAATACATACCTACATACATTATTTTTAAAATATCACAGTGCCAGCAGAATAATAATACCTATATTATGCTGTTGAATGTCGGACGAATAATATTATTGTAACAAGCATTTTAGAAATTATTATTTATTTATATTATAATAATACATTTACACATATTAGGATATAATTTAATATTAACTATAATGGCGACGACCTATTGCGTGAGTGCAATACAATCGTAGGACGAACGCTGAGAATGTAATGTCACACATTTTGTAAGCAGGTACAAGCAGATTATAATTTCATAAAATAATCTTGTGACATAAAAGAAACCACTCGCAATCTTAACAAATTATACAACAATATACCTAGTTAAGAGGAACTAGGAAGCATAATTAATATGATATAAAACACTATGTCTGTTAAATTATTATATTATTATGTACGTGAAAATGTAGAATAGATTATAGTACAGAGTAGGTAGGTATTTCAGTATCTGCAGCGTAGGTAGTGCAGTTTCGAATAAACGATTATAACATTTCGAAACCGATAACTGTTGATTTTCCTCGACAACAAAAGATTCTCGGTGGTATTCAGTGTCGTAATCACATGTGATATTCGGCTCGAACAAACAATACAATGCATAAAGATGAATTCCACTTAAGTCCTTTTCCCTACAAGCAAACCGACAGCTGTTGACGACCTTGCACCGTGTCTATAACGTTATTATTTAATCAGACCTGCTCGTCACGTCATCAACATTGCTCGTCGTCGTTATTAATTGTTAACACATCGAATTAATTAACTATATTATTCTGTATATTGTCCGAAATACTGTAGATATTATAGTAGGTACACGTACCTGCCTATATTCAATAGGTAACGACGTAAGGTACCCTATTGTGTTGTTATAGACGTTATTATTTTGTCTCTCGTAAATTTAAATATGTCCCTTGTTATTTGTGTATTATATATCCTTTTTAATATATGTATATACATTTTAATCGAAACAGATTTAAAGTTGTCTTTTAGTTCTTTCAGGTATTTATTGTTATGTTAATTTATTCAATTGTTGTTTTCAAAAATAATTGTATTGGTGTTTAAATAATCGTTTGATTTAAAAAATGTATATACCTATTTACTACAAAGATATTTTATTTTCAAGATTTTAAAACTATATTTCACAGCTAAAACAATGCCTATCAAATTATGATTTGATATTAAATACACACTACACAGTACACACTATGTCACTATGTAATAGTATAATAATAATAATAATAATAAGTTTATATTTTATAATATAAATTTTCAGTCATACAAGATAGTAATAGTACAAAGTAAGAATAAATTATATTGACTCACTTCTAAAAAGCTAAAAGCTTGTGCTAAGAAGTGAGAGTTTCTTATAACATTATAATATATAAACTAAATGACTTAAAAATGTAATACAACATGAGAGAATAAAGAAAAAAAGAAAAAAAACTTATAAATCATAATTAAATGTAACATTATGTCACATAGTTGTTTATAAAATTAGTAACATCATTACTACTTAGTATAATATCCCAATTTAAATTATTAATACATAAATTTAATTTATCAAAATCAATAACCGATTATACTTTATTCATAATTATACAATTACTATACTGCAAAGGATTAACATTTAAGTTAATAGATAGGATTATACTAAAATGATCTGTAATTGAAGATAGGAAAACATATGATTTAAGATTACCAGGTAAAATTCTCTTAACGAAAAAATGATGTGAGCACGAAGCAGAAGTTATTTGATTGTCTCGTTACATTATTAATGCATTAATAAAAACCAAAACCAGCAAAAATATTTAAATAATTAATAACTTTTAGATTACTACTTTTTAAAATATCAATATTAACCACAAATAATATGATATTTTATATCAGAAGTTTGTGTCAAATAATTATTTAAAGAATTTAAAAATGCATCAATATTATCACTAGGGGACCTATAACACACCGTAACAACATACTCTTTAGTCTATACCATATATTTGACAAGTTAATAATTGTTCATTTATTTGTACATATAATTTTATTTATAAGAATTTGAAGTTTAGATAATTATGTAATATGTAATAATAATATAAACTGAACTGTGTTAAAATAATCATCCTGTATACAATATAATGGTGATGGAATGCATTATTTTTTAAACCATATCAGTGTTTGAAATTTTGCATTGTTATTGACTGAATACTGTTATCTATATATTATATAAAAGTAAGTGACTGACTGAGGTATCAACACACAGCTAAAGTCTAGATGAAAAAAGACAGTCTAGAGATTTGAAATTATGCACAGAAGTTCCTTATACAACGTAGGCAACCCCAAAGAAAAGATTTTTCAAAATTCAACCCCTTAATAAGGGAGTTAAAATATTGATATATCGATCAACGCACAGCCTAAACCACTGGGTCTAGAGACTTGAAATTTTGCACAAAGTACATTTTCCTTATACAACTAGACGAGCACAAAAAAAGGGTTTTTCAAAATTCACCCCTAAAGCGTATTTTAAAATTCATCCCTTAAGGAGGTGAAACAGGGTTTTAAAATGTGTGAAGAAATAAAGAGTTCACATTTTTTCTCCAAAGTTTCTGGTTTACTTGGTGACCCGTTGGAACACAATTGCATTTTTTTACCTGAAAAAAACAACAACACAAAAAACAAATTTAAGTTAAGTAATAAAATTCAAAAAAAATTCCCAACATTACGCAATAACGTAATACGCAAATAATAACACAATTACACACCAAAAAAAAAAAATTAATGATAATAGGAAAATACAACAAAAATCAAGTTCCTATTACTCTTTAGTCAAAAAGAAATAATATTTCTTCACAAATTATTTGTCGCACAATATACGCATATTATACTACTAAAATATACTACATTAACTACATTATAAGACAATTGTTAATTTATTTAATTATTTAAATCCAACAAAATAAAATATTTGTTTGTGCGCAATGTTTTTCAGGTATAAAGGTAAAAACTAAAAAATACGCAATCATGTTAAATATGGTACGTTGTACAAACCTAACGATGTGATATTATAATATTATAATAATAATATAATAATAAAAAAAAAGGTGGACAAGTGGGTGTCACTCTGCGGTACAGTAGGTTACAAGTGGGTCACTGTATAATGGATGGTATTAATTTGAATTCAATGATATTATATCATTGTTTAAGAAAAACGATTCTGAGCGGAGACGGTATGTCCTCCTAGGCAGGGCCGTCCCGAAAGACAAATCATGGGGGGGTGGTTTGATTCATAATTTGCCAACTAAAAAAAAAAATTTTCTCGCTTCGCTCGACAATTACCTCCTATCTGCAGACCACATGCATAGTAGTCAGTAGACAAATGTTACACAATATTAAATATTTTATTATGTTCTTACTATGTTCTTACTATGTTCTTTTATTATATCAACAAATAAATATTATAATAAACTTAACACTAAATTTATATACGTCGGTTTTTAAAATTGACCATTGATGTGCTATTTTATTTATATCCAATAGGTCAACAATATCTTTTTCTACTCCCAATACAATTAAAGAGTTTAATCTCTCATCAGAAATTGTTGACCTAAGATGTGTTTTAATCAATTTTAGTTTACTAAAAGATCTTTCGTTTGATGCGACTGTTACAAGAGAAGTCAATGCTAAACGACAAATTTGATTAGCACATGGTAAAATATGCTTTACTTCTTCTGCTTTTTGCATTAAAGAATTAAATGGTAATGTTCTATCTTCTTGTAACATACTAAATAATATTTCTAATTCTGTTTGAACTAAATCATAATCTAGAAGGTAAGCACCTACACTGCTTGGCGGGAACAAAGAAATGAAATATTGCTTTTATTAAATGGTTGAGTAAATAATGTAAATAATGGTTGAATAGAAGAAATACATGATTTTAAATTATCATTTGTTAGTTTTAATAGGGTATCTAGAACCATTTTAAATTCTTTTCTATAAAATAGATGCATTGTGAATTCAGCTTGGGTTGTGGCATTACAATCATATCGTTTAGGAGCTAATCTTTTACGATGATGGTTTTTAAAATCAGCGCACAATTCCTTATCAGTTATCATTATAGCTTTATTAAAAATAATTCAATGATTATACGACAGAATATAATATATTATGAAATTTCATATATTCTGTGATTATTCGAATATGTATAGGCAAATTTGTATACTGTTATAATATTATATAATATGATACATTGATAGGTAAAGTCTAAAATATTATAATAGTATTAACTGTGTTGGACAGTTGGCAATCGGAAAATTAACTTATAATACCTTCATATTATTATAAATTACAATATATTATTATGATATATTTGGACTTATAGTAGTATATACAAAATTATTAAAAAGCTGTAAAAAAAAATTATAATTTGCCGAGTGCCAACTGCCCAACTCAAATACTTAATGTAGGTATCAATGTGCCAACTGATATATACATATTATACGCACAGGGGGGTGGGACACCCCCTAAAACCCCCCTTCGGGACGGCCCTGCTCCTAGGTTAAGGCATATTATATACTTATCTATGGTATTAAAAAAAATTGACCTATAATAGGTACCTATAATAAATTCCAAATTAATCATATCACAATATCCATTAGGTACTTATAACGCGTTATACACCAACAACAAACCCTGATACTATCATAGATATATAGTAGTAAACTTTAGAAGTTTCAAGTACCCACGAATAATATTATACAATCACAACAAAATATCTAAAATAGTTATTCTAGGTTTTTTATAATGTAATTTCGTCCAAATATGAATTTAAAATGTCTGTAAAAAATAACTGTGCTCATATATTTTTTAGATTTTTTGGCTACAGTATGAATTATTTATGAGAACCTTTGCTTTAAATTTGCAATCCTTAGCTATAAAAACTGAACATTTTATAATTTATTAATTACAATGATTGATAATTTTCGAGATTTTGATAAATTTTATCAAAATTCGATCTTTAAAGGCTTATAAAAAAAAATTGTGCCAATGTATTTTTTATATTTTTCAATTGCTATTGTAACAATATATCAGGAGCCTTGTATTAAATTTGTATACTTGCCCAACACATAAAACTTAATTGATATCTATAGAAAAAAAACTAAAAAAAATTGAAAGCTGTAAATGTCCGTAAACAGCTCAAAAAGAGTCAAAATATTATCAAAATTGTATGGTGTATAGAAAATGCTAATTTAAACATTCAGTGAAATTTTCATGTATCTACAGTTATTCGTTTTTGAATTACAACAAAATAAGGAAATCGCCACATGAGAAATCGAGTGAATATCCAAGGTTGTAAAAATTTGAATTTAAAACGCTCATAAAAATTTAATTTGACTTTCTTATAGACATTTTTTTTTTTTTATAAAAGGTAGACAAACTTATGAGGAATCTTGTATTACATTTTAAAATCTTAGATTTAAAAAGAAAAATTTTTATGAATTTTTAATTCAAAATAGTTTGCTAAATTTCGTGATTTTTCCATATTTTGTCAATTTTTGAACTTTAAATGCTTATAAAAAAAAACTGTGACTAAGGATTTTCAATATTTTTCAAATGCCATTGTAACAATATAGTAGGAGCCTTGTATTACATTTTCAAGCTTTTTTAACCTACAAATAAAATTTAATTGATATCTTTAGAAAAAAAACTAAAAAAAAATGGAAAATGAAAATGTCCCTAAACAGTTCAAAATAAATCAAAATATTTTGAAAATGTTATCGTGTATAGAAAATTCAAATATAAACAACCAGTGAAAATTTCATGTATCTGCGGTCATTTTTTTTAAAGTTACACCAAAAACCAAATTCAATTTTGTGAAAAATCGATTTTGCGTAAAAATTCCCGTTTATCAATAATTTTTCTTTTGTTAATCTTGTAGCTTGTGAAAACTATTGGGAATTTTAAATTTGGACCTCCCAAAAGTACCAACTAGATTCACTTTCCCATCGAACAAGTTACTGAAGTTGAAAATCGAAGCATTATTTCGACTACTAATCATGTACACAGACACAAAAATAAAAAACAATGAAAAAAAATAAAAAAAGGTGCTCTGCTGTACAGTAGGTTACAAGTGGGTCTCTGTATAATGGATGGTATTAAATTTGAATTCAATGATATAATATCATTGTATAAGAAAAACGATTCTGAGCGGAGACGGTATGTCAGTCTAGGTTTAAGACAAATTATATACATATCAATGGTAATAAAAAAAAAAATATGCACAGTCTTATCATAGAGCATACTTCTTATTCATTATACTATGCTATAATCATATGGATAGGCCATAATATTTTTATTTTTTAGTTTCATATATCCCCGAATAATATTTTTAAACTACAACAAAAAACTAAAATCATTAATATTGGTTTTAATATGTAATTTCGTCCAAATTTGAACTTAAAATGACTATAAAAATAAACTGTGCTTGTGTATTTTTTAGTTTTTTTGGTAACAGAATCAACTACTTACGTGGAATCTTGTTTTAAAATTTCAATCCTTAGATATAAAATTTCATACATTTTTAACTACAAAATAATTATTCAATTTTAAATTTGATAAATTTTGTCAAAATTTGATCTTTAAATGCTTATAAAAAAAATTGTGCCTATGCATTTTTAATATTTTACAACAGATATTGTAACAATAAATCAGGAGCCTTGTATTACATTTTTACACTTTTTGGCCCAACAGATAAAACTTGAAAAACTGATCTCTAAAAATGGTCATCAGTTTGGAAGATGTTTTAATTCTTCAAGTTTTCCGGTGACCACTTCATAAACGGTTTTTTGCATTTATGTTTTTTTCGGAAAATTTTAGTTTTACTTTAATTTACACAAAACAAATATTCACTTTATACAACGATTCAGGGATAAGCTAAATTAAAAAATAAATACCTAGATATATGGCTATATTTTATCATTTGAAGCTATGGATAATTAATATAAATTTAAAGAGAGTTGTTAGATCCTTTGAGACTTTATCAAACCACTACCACTTTACTTTATCCTGTAAATAAAATTATTAATCAAAATATTAGAATACAATTTCCAAAAAAAAAAAATATAAAATATAAAAATCAAATATAAAGTTATTTTTTTGTCGATATTTCCGGTTTTGTTGAATTGAAAGGTTTTTTTAAAAAAAGGTTACCGCTACACGTTACCCCTTAATTGGTGGTTAGTGGTTACAGGTAATTGTTAACCACTTCTCAACATTTAAACTTACAAACCGGGAAGCGGTTACCAGACCTAAAATTTGTCATGGTAACCGGTTTCTACCCCTGAAAAATTGGAACTTACTTAATTTAACATAATTCATATTTTTTTTGTAATATAAATTCGGTAATAATTATTTTGAGTAGAAGATGAGATAAAAATGTTAGGTGTATGGCATTTGAAATCAATTGAAATCCAAATAATACGATTTTCTAGGTACGCTTTGGATGTGTAAAATCCTTATATAGCTAGGATATCGTAAAAATGATGAAAAATCATCATATTTATTATTTATTATTTACACCTAGTAAAAACTTTTTATATAATCAGTAATTTAAATTTATATACCTACTCTAAAAGTTCAAACACGTACATTAATACACTCTTATAAATTATGAGCTATTCAATACTCACTTCCCGCGAGACTTAATTAGGGCTGAAATATCGTGAATAATTAATGTGCTAGCTTGTACAAATAATAACTATAATCATTATTTTTTGTCACATAAACATAATAAAAACAAAAAGTAATTTTTTTAATCCTATGTTGTGATACTAAAAATAAGTATTGTAAATGATATACCCAATGAATGGTGAAATTATAAGTCTATTATATATGTTCCTAATACTTATTAATACTTATTAAACTCTCGACTCTCGACAGACACTATTTTTTACACTATCATAATATAGATATTAGATTTTTTAGGTAACTGTAATAGTTATAATGTTAATGTATTTTTCTAGTTAATGATTGTAATAAACTCTCAAGCATATTTGCTATTTGAAATACTTGATAATTTATTTTTGGGTTACACCAAAAAAATTAAATTGATTTTTTCAAAAATTGATTTTGCCCTTGAAACTACCTATGAAGTTAAAAATCAAAGCGTTTTTTTTAATATAAAAAGCGTTTCTACATTACAGTCACCTAAGAACACATAAAGGTTACTATGAAAAACAAATACATAAATCGCTCAGATCAGAATCTAAAATTATCACAGTATCATACATTCATATTTCATACCTATATGGCTAATGGCTATATCAATTTTCGGAGATGTTAAAATCAAAAAAATCAAACAAAATCTAAAAGGAGACTTAACGAAAAATTAAATTCTGTCATCTGAATAATTATCGTGTACGTAGAAATGAAAACACGACCAAATTCCAATGTTGCGCGTACGTGAAACAGAGAAAACTTAATCTGTTTGACTTTGAATACTCGTTTGGATAATTAATGTACAAGACAGTGTTTAATGTAATTCAATCATAATTCCAAAACATAGGTATATTACTAATACGAATACGTGAAATTCTTAACAATATGTAGGTAGGTACCTATTTAATTATAATTTATAACATATTGATCGATATTTACAAATGTAAATGTTGTAAATATTTATTGATTACATTTGTTTAAAAAAATTGTAATCAAGTCATAGACCTATAAACTAATGGACAGCGTATTCCATACTCCGCCCTGCCATCAATGGCCAGCCTAGGGATGCTAGCATTGCTAGGGAATCATTTAACTGAGAAAAAAAAAGCAGAGAGAAAGAACATAAAGTAGTAAAGCATGGAGGAAATATCTTATATTATATAATATCAAAAGTGAATACGATGACAAGAATAATAAAACAAAATATGTACCTATTATTATTTAACAAATGCATGTTATGTTTAAAAATATTAATATAAAATATTTAGTTCTCAATACAAATAGCAACTTTATTTTATCTGGTTCATATTATTTACATATTTAAAGTATTGCCGGTATATTTTATAATAATTTAATACTATTTATAATTTGTTTTTTCCTATATAAATAAAAAAAAAACTTAACATAACCTTGTTAACTATTGTCAGTTTTTGTTGAATTTCTCCAATACTTATAATTAATTATAAATCAATATTATAATATTTATTTTACATTACCTATTTACCTACCATAAACACATAATGTCATTTATCATATTTGTAGAGTTATAGTTTTGTAGACACTTAATTATAATATGTCTGTACTTAGTATGTTTTGGTGAAACTGTTGATAATATAATTTTGGTATTAACTATTAATACGTACTATACTTGTTGACAAGTATTTACAGAAAATGAAAATACGTAGTTAGGTTCTATTGCATGGATAAAATTTTTTTAGAATAACATAATATATTACCACCTAGTTATCTCCAACTTACTAGTTACTGACTAACTGACTATTACTATTCCTTATAATAATATGCGTTCTGGCACTTATCTAAGCCATATATCACAAAACACGTTTGTATGAGATAATAGTATTGAGATCATTACTAAATGGTTAATGAAGAAAACTGAAGAGATAAAATAATGGAAATATATTATATAAACTTACTATTTTAAAAATAAAAGCACATAATTATTATCACCACGTCATAATTATTTTTACAATAATAGTAAAATACCTGCGTTAATTAATAATAGTAACAAAACAACTTCACAACAAAAAATATTCTTGTTACTTATTTAAATTTTAATGATTAAGCGGTATTTTAAATTTCTTTATAACCTTTTTTTTTTTAAAGCAATACATAATGTTACAACCATATTTTTAATTTGCTGATACAAAATTATTCATTCTATTCTATTCTATTCATATAAAATAAAAATATATTATGTATCTATAATAAATTATATTCAATAATAATATATGTTTTCTCCTTTGCTTGAAAACGTTACAATACAACAATAATTTACCTACCACGAATTATTTATGCTCATAATCATTAATCTAACCTTTCCAGGCTGGAAAATAAAATATGATCTGTTTAAAGCATTATTTAATTTGAAATAATATAGAGTTTTTTTTTTTGTAAATAAGAAGAAAGCGTGTACGTGAACATGACAGCGGGATGTCAGTTTAATTATATTACAAGTATTATTATAATAATTTGTTGTGTAGTGCTTTTAGGTACTCTTAAAATATTATGTTCATTAAACAATTTGCAATCAATGTATTCGATATTTTCTAAGTAGGTAGTCATTAAATGTTTTATCATTTTTAGCATTTGTTGCTATCATAAAGTATCATTGCACGTTGATAACGTTATTTGCTCTAATTTTTAAATGTTTCACATTTAAAAGCAATTTCTGTAGCAATTCCTATAATCCTATCATTCCTATCATTAGTAATTTTGTATTATTCAACTAAAATTACTTTTGTTCCATATTTTACACTTAGAATCTGTAGACATAGAGATCGTTTAATGGACTAATAAGTAGCACACAACGTTTTAATATTAATATAGGAAGGTACTTGTTACAAAAATATTGCTTCACGGTTCATAAAAATAATTATTTCTAATACTTATATGATGGTCAAAAGTTCAAAATTTCAAACTATAACTAGAATGTATAGGTACTTAATAAGATGTTTAATTTAAAGTAAATAATTTTAAAGCTTAGTATTTTTTGAATATTTTTATTTACATAGAAAATATACAATCTATACAATTAAGCACATGCAGACATGCAGTTTATGTGAGGATAAAAACATTATTGGGGTTACGGGATTAAGGAGTCACCTATTAGTGACACTTTGCAAAGGCTTAGTAGTTAGTATTTAAAAATGTAATTTTTATTAAATATAAATTGTTTTATATTGTACCTACTGCTTAAAAAGATAAACATTAAAAATATATAATACTTATTGATATTGTTTAATAATAGTTACGTATGCGCATGTATAGTTAAGCTACGAAAACATTTTGATTATATTTCAATATAATATAATATAAAAATATATACCGAATAATTAATAACCATTACACATGCATAATTTCTGGTTGCATACATATTGGCTATTATAATTCACTGGTTTAACAGTTTAACTGGCTGAAGTGCAACATATAATATTATGTTATACAGAAGATGAACATTAAACTAAACATTTTTAGATAGCCCATAATTTAGTTAATGACGCATGCTGAATTAGAAACAAATTTGTAGAACTTATTCAGAACGTTTTGACGTCATATAGTACTGTATATTATAATGTAGTCGGACAGAAAACCCAAGAAATTCCTGAAAGTGAAATCAATTAAGTATTAATTGCTTAGCTCTTTTCGAAGTTTCCCGTACAATGAATATAATTATTATGTCTCGATGATAATATTATTATGTCGCGTCAAATGCAAATCAAATACGATGTGTGTGTGTGTAAACTCTTATATTGTGTTGCTTGTTGTTACAGAGAAGAACTTTTACACAGCTGTTCAGCTGGACACAGGACACAGATCCAAGGGAATTGGTATGAGTGAGAGTGGAAGGGAGAGGGTGTATGTGCGTGTGAATGAGAAAGAATGAGAGGGGGGTGAGCAAGAGAGTGAAAGAGAGACACCACGCGCACGCCACTGTTCGTCAGTCGTTTTATGTACACTGTACGCAATACACACACAGTGTACGGTGAGAGTTCCGTTAACGATAATTCGTGAGGACACACGACAAACAGCCTAGGACTTTGTACGTCTCTATTATTGTAGTCGTAATACTACGTCATTGCATTATATTTAAATAATATAGGCTTAAGAGTATAGTATAGTGTTTTGAACGAAATAATATAAATATTAAAATAGAATAAAGTGAAGAAAAATAGACGGACTATCCTCTGCCAGAATGCCACTGTCACTTAAATCTATATGGAAAGGAAACTCTAAACATAAAAGTAAGTGAAATTATTATAAAGCATTATGCGAGTGTATAATATTTTCTTTAGTAAAAGTATATAATATCCACGTTTTCGAACAAAAATCGTCAATGGCGTGTTTATCATTACCTTTATGGTTTTATTAAAATCGCTTTATTCCAGTAATTTTATTATATACTTTATATTTGAGAATAGTTTCTCTACTAATATCTTAAAATGAGTTGAAATGATTTAGAGATATTTTTTTGTGGTTGGTAAAGGAAATATTGAATATTAAAATTAACATAAAATAAGTTATTAGGTACATTTTACTGTTGGCGATTTTACATTCCTATAATATTTTCTTCAGAGGGAATTAAATCACTCATCTATACCATACTATTTCTTATAATCGATTTAGCTGATAGTTAAAGTATTCCCATAATCTGCTGCAGATGAGTTTAAATTTAATGCATCACAAGTGTTAAAAAAAAATAACAACAGTTAAATGCTATTCCTAGTAGTTATTAATCATCAAAAATTGGACGATCATGCTACTAGGAACTGGTCTATCTTATATAATAGACACGTTTTATTCGTCTGCTATTGTATTTCATGTAATACAATATACAACAACATGGTGTTAAGAAATCTTTTGTGACTCAAAGGTCTGTCGAACTTGACGTCAACACTCAACAACCATAACGTCACATAAATCATACCACGAAATATAATAGTTTTGAAACATATTTCAACAACAAAAATTCGCTACCTACTTATAATTAGTGAAAAATATGGGTGATCCGCTACTCTAAACTAGCAAAACAAGAAAATTGGTTATGGTGTCGTAATTCGTTTTTTTTTTGTAAGCCACATTAGAGGACTACGATGGCATTAATTTTCGTGCTCATAGTTTCGCATAGTAATTATTATAATAGTAGGTCGTATTATAGAGCCCTAAATAATTGACTATTGTTACTATATGAACAATTTACGTACAGCGACACTTGTACTTGTTTGGTTTATTTTTGCAAATATTTATTACCCACTGGTATCTACTTTTCATATAAACATACATACTATCCAAATTGTTTTAAAAAAATATTTTGTTTTAAGCAACAATGCTGTTTAGGTAATGTACGCTAATAGATATGTATGTATTACATATACTATACACATAAGACATAACTTGCTTATCTTATAGACATCTGAGTATATCTAATATAAATTCAAGATACCTATAAAGATAGAGCACGAAATTTAAAAAAATAAATATTTTCGGTAGTAATAATAATAATAATAATAAAATACCGTATACACGTCTTTACCTAAGCTAGAGTTAGTTAGACCTAAACTTCAAGACCCTCATAATAAAATTATATTACTATTAATAAACATTATATTATATTTATATTAAATGGTTTGAATACACAATGAATTTTAAATAATATCCTTTTTGAAAAACTTATCAGATTAATTAATAATCATGTGTATTGTACCTACTTATTATTAATGACTAACGATCGTGAGAACAATATGAACTATGAAACATTGGTAGTAATTAAATTGCATTAGACATTTTAGAAATAATTTTCTATTTATTTTATAAAAGTATAAAATTATATTTTATTTAGGAAATTACATACTTAAGTTTATCATGTTATGCATACCTTTTTAATATTAAGCATTGGTACGACATGTCACGTAGGTAGTCAGTACCTTGTACCTAGTTATACAATTCTACTTAAGAACAAGTATATTATGTACTAGAGGAACAAGAGGAAACACTTTTTCAATTTCCCTTAGTTTTTGCCTTTTCAGGAGTCTTATGAGGACATACCTATTATTATTATTGTTCAACTACGAGACGTTGAAAAAAATTGTATTTTGATTATTCTGTTAGAACCGTGAGGTGCAACAATTAGTATTAAATTGGAATTAACATAATAATATGTATGTACTGTACCTATGGTTTTTATGGTAATGAAATTCAATATTTTTTTCAAATTATAAATTAGTTTTAATTAATTTGTTGGAATTATTTCTAACACTAATTTTTTTTTAAAACAAGAAAAATTTTGGCACCTTTTTTATCGATATCTAATCAAACAATTGAACAATGATATCATTAAACTTCTCGGAAAACAATCGGAGAGAAACCATGATTCTTGTTGTAATGAAACAAAAAAATAACATAATATAGGAACACAAGAAAAAATGTAGGTATCCATTTTTTTTAAAAATGTACGTTCTGTCAGTGAACACAAATCTATGTAGGTCGTCGTTTTGTTTTATTGTAAGGTTCAGCTGCTCCAGACGTGGTAATAAAAACTCGAAGAGGGATATTTCTCTTTACATTGAAAAATATATAATTTTTAATAAGTGTAATTTGATATAGTGATAGGCTGATACAAAATTGCAATTAAATTGTTGGAGTAACCATCATCACGCGTTCGGAGGAGAAATTATTGTGTTATTACGATTTATAGAATGTGTCTCGGTTGAATGGATATTTTTTAGTTTCTTCAATACGTTGTGAACAATATTATTTGTTCTATAAGAAAAGGTGTGCAATTGCACGTGAAATATAGTCTATATAATATAATAGATACTATATTTAAAATAATAGGTCTTAACACTATATTTTATAGTTTTGAACCCTGAGACTACCTTCAATCGTGTACCACTGTACCTACGTAATTTAATAATTTAAAAAAAAATTCAGATGACTACCATCCATACGACCAATGTATTATTGACATGTTAATCACGAAGCATTTGTTAGTATTATGTATCTTTTTGATAGCACTGCAACATAATAGCATTATTGACTGTACCATTGTACGACTGTTACAGATTATAATATTATAATATGGACAATAAACATTCACGTTTTCATATCATATGTATAATGTACCTATACCTAAATCAACAAAAAACATTGATTATTTGACAAAAATTGTACCTTTATATTATATATCACCATATCTGTGGGCACTTACAGTTATTGGTGACACGAATACGAAATACTATATTATATTATTATACGAATGGTCATACAAAAATCGATCTATAATAGGCCCACAGAGTTCAAACTATATGCTTTTGGTAGTCGTGTCAAACTTACATTATTTCGAAATCGTGATAACTCGAATGACGCGTACTAAGTGGCGCCGCAGTGACTTTTAACTAATCAATAAAATATCACTAACTGCAATTTTCTTTGTACCTATAATAGCTATAATAATAATAGTAATATTATTTTATGAAGGTATTTTATTTTTCAAGAATCTTATTCTGAAACGTTGTTTTCTCTTCACATTATTCTAAATGTATTTTTATTATACTCGTGATATAACGACAAGTCATTATTATAGCTTCTGGTTTAATGTCAAGAAATAGAACATTTTTGTATGTTATAAAGATTCGATTCGTGGGCGCTTCTTGAAACTTACAGTACCTATACCTGCTATTACTTTACCGTTTAATGGAAAAAAGTTGATAACCATCAATTGTAAGTACCTATGCTTGTGTTTGTGTACCGATATGTATGTGTAACGTGGGTGTATCCAACATTTTCGTATTAAAAAAAAAACTAGCGATAGCCCGGTCAGCAATAAAATGAAAATAAGTTACAACAGATTGCGCCCAAACGTTTTTTAAGCCACACCCGTATGAGAAATACGAAAAAACTTCTGATTTCTCACTAGAACATTTTCATTTTATTGCCGTCTGGGAAAACACGGGCTGATTATTTCAAACCGGATGTCATCGTTGTCGACGTCACACAATAATGATATGTATATGGGAGTTGACTCTTATCATTGACGTTCCTGACTATGAATCGTCTGAAAACCATAACCACTTTGATGTACTTCGTAACAACTAAATATATATAGTAACTAACGACGATAACTGATTTAACTGTAGGCATGCCCAATGTTTACACAATTATTGAATATTATCGTTGGTAAATTATAAACCATTTTTCGTAAATTATTATTATTTATTAAAATACACTGTCCTTTCGAAACCTTTATTAAACGGATCGATTTGGGACAGCGGAAATAAACAAACGATAGTGATGCCTCAGGCAAATAAACAATAATAATATAAATATCATCATGTCCATTCGACGTTTTAACGTTTTTTTTATCCTGTATTCAATGATAATAAACTTTATTTTTTGAACTACGCTATAAAATGTTTTTGTTTTTATCACTTTAAAACAAAACATATAGATACATATTATATTAGTTATATACTAGTATACATTTTTTAATCATTAATATAGCCTGTTGTATTTAGTGTTTGAGTAAAAAAAAAGACTTAAGTGGGTAATGGGTATATCAATATAAGTAAGTTTAATATCGGAGGAAATGGTCTGTTTTGAGAAAAAAGAATGCACAAACGACTTTTCAATTACGGGTGAATAAATGAATAACTATAAATTATATTATACTATACCTAGTCTATAGGTAATGTATAATATGTTTTTGCGAAAGAGGAAATGTTATCTGGGTCAGTGTTATATACGACTTAATAATATTATTAGGTATATGTTTATTATACTCATTACTGGAAAAACTGCGTGATATAGTAAAAAAATAAAGGCGTATGGGTCAGATGAGACGTTTTTTATGATAGTAAGTACTACTCATGTGACTCAGAACCGGTTTTTCGAGTGGTACGGCGTCAACTGAATAATTTTTTCCTATAAGTTTAAAAAAAAATTATACAAAATTATACACCTAAACATTTTTTTATTTTAAAAAATATAAATGTTTGATAAAAAAATAATCACTTGGTAATGTTCAGAAACAATCCATGATGAGAGCTAATTTCATTGAAATCCTCCAGTAGTTCATATATAATGTATACATAGTACTATTTATACTTATATAATATGTTTATGTAGGTACCTACTTTAGTACTTTATATATTACATACTATATAGTTTAGTAAGTATACAATAAATATAAATATAATTTATTTTATCTGCACTGGTTGATGAAATTAAATGAATAAATTATCATATT